CACCTAAAGCCCAGGCCACCCACACCTGAGATGCGGCCCACCCTGGGCTGGGTGCCCCTGGGAAGTGCTGGCTTGGCTGCCTGGCTGCAGTCCAGCTGCAGCTCCAGCCTGTGCACCGGGCCTGCTGGCTGACACCAGGGACCCTGGTGCAAGAGCGCTCACAGCAGACCTGTGTAGCTGTATCAGACATCACAAGAACCTGGGAGGTGTCCGGCCTTGGCCTCTGGCCTGCTGAGCTCCCTTGGCTCATGGACACACACACACCCCGTCATATTCCTGCAGCAGTACCACACGCAGCACTGCAGTGGGGCTGCCCCAGGTTACACCATGGAAACCTTTGTGCTTGGTGCTGCCGGGGGACTGGGAGGCGGCCTGCTGGCTGGAAGCTGCCATTAGGATGGGCAAGCATGCATCTTGTTCCCATGACTCAAGTGTAGCACCTAAGGCCAAGTGCCCTGGTTGTGGCTGCTGCCATGGTAACGTCTGCTGCCACAGTGACCGGAGGGCAGTGTGGCCACTCCCCAGGCATCCGCTAAGGGAGCTCACCCAGGACCCAGGCTGCAGGCTTCCCTGGCTCCCCATCTTCCTGGCTCTCCCACTCCGACATAGCAGCCTGACCTCCTGAATCTCCTACATCTTCAGCTCCTGGAGGACAGGGCGTGGCCATCATCACTGTGCTGGAACTCACTGCTGTTGGCCACTGGGCAGTCCATCCGCCATGCTACCTCTGTGTCTCCAGATGGTGACCAGTCCAGGGCTATTCTAGGGTGACCCCTTTTGTTCTGGTGCCCTTGAAAAGCTGCTAAACAAAGGACTCGGAGTTGGCGGGGTCTCCCCTGGCTCTTTAGGGACAGGATTTTGTTCTGTGAGTCGCTCTATGACGCATGCTTCCTTTTCCATATACCTCGGCCTGCTAATAGCACATTGGAATGATTTCCTTAATTTCTAAAGCAGCGTGTGCGGAAGGGGCTTATATTTCCTGTTTTGATAAACGGGTGGAACTGTGCTGGGAGCTCGCTCCCAAGCTGGCTCTCTTCGTGGTTGGCCTCTTTTTACTGAACTAGAAGGATATTTTTAAAAAGCCCTGCTTGACCAGACTTGCAAGGAAGACAAAGACTTGTGCAGATTATTTTGCCTTAAAATAGGAAAGGTAATTACTTTCCTCAGTGAGAAATATTTACCTTTCCTGTCACTCAGACTGGGTGGGCAGAGTTTCCTCTGCAGAGGACGGTTGGGTTGGATGCTGGGGATGACTCCATGGTAAATATCTGTGAATTCCCTTAGGAGAATTGCATTTTTTGGCTGGAGGTATATTGACTTAAAAGAGACTTCCTTGGACAAGGCTTTTCTGGAACATGTAGAGGACAAACTATCCTTTGTTTTGGGACAGATGCATTTTGTTCTTGAATCTTCATATAAATGCGGTTAATACGCACTTCGTGTGCCAGTTGGAAACCATGGCCATCTTACTTTTTCTTTCATTCCCCTATGGCACATCAACCTTAAATAACAAGAGCTACAAAGAACGCGGTACGTCACCGCGGGTTTTGCCTCTGATTGTCCATGTCTGATACACATGGACATCTCATACAGGAAGTGAAACAGACAGAAGGAGTCTAAATCTTCTAGGCATTTTACCTTCTGGCAGTCAAGCTATTTCATATTTTTAAAAGTTTTTAAATATCCTAAATCCAGAGCCAGTCTTGGAGTAGCGGCACTGGGCCACTTTCCGTGTCCCCAGACTGTGCGTCCTTTGGCAGGTGGGGAGAGGAAGTCTTTCCCAGAGACTTGATGGCTAAGGTCCCCAGCGGAGTGATGTGACACCCTGCCATCGGCCAACACCAGCCCCGTGGGACCGGATGTCCTCTAATCTTGCAGCTGCTTCTGTTGATCTCTGCCGGCTCTCAGGAATCCGTTTATAAATGGCAGCAGTGGCTGTGGCAGCCACAGAGCCAGGGGAGGCCGACCTGGAGCACTCCCCGAGCCAGGCAGGAAACTGTCTCCTCAGGGGACTCAGGCTTCTGCTCTCCTGAGGTGCTGGACACTGCAGTTAGGTCAAGATGGGTCCAGGCGGGCTGCCCAGGAAAACAGACGGGCTTTCAAAGCTTTCTAACATAATGATTTAGGAAGACTCGAAGGAAGGTACCCTGTGAAGTCAGCTGATGGTTCTGCTTCTGCGGGTTTGCCCTGGACTCCTGGGAACAGTGTCAGCTGCGTCCCCACAGAACGAACACGATCTGTCCCCAGAGAACACCTCTGGGGCCTTCTCCTCACTAGCTGGTTCAAAAGCCATCCAGGTCCCTCCTGAGACCCTCAATTTCTGATCAGCACAGTAGTGCTGGCTGCCAGTGCAGGCAGAATAAAACCCAGCAGGAAATGGAGTGCTGGAGTGTCCATTTTGGAGATGGAAGTGAAGACTCACCGGAAATCCCACCTCTGAGTCCTGGGTGTTCAGAGCCTCTGAGGCCCCCCAGGAGGCAGGGTCAAAGGGAGGCTAAGGGTGGCCCTTTGCTGGGACAGTTGTGCCCAGGTGCTGAGCCTGTACCACTCCACTGCAGCACCAGGACCAGCTGCCTGGGGGGAGGGGGAAGATACGTCCCAGGTGGGCAAGGCCCCTTCCCAGTGCCCAGTCACCACCACCGGAGGTCACTACAAGAGCCGATCCTGACCTGGGAGGGCTTGGAAGTACACAGCAGGGTCCATTGCTGAGGTGGCTGGCAGCCCCCCGAGATGCAGTCAGGTGGGAGGCGCAAGGCTTTTTCAGTGAGGACTTGACCTGCAGGTGTGGGTTTGTGCTTTTGTTGCTGTGAGCAGTAAAAGCAAGGAACAGAGCTATGACATGGAGCTGGCTTCCCGGGTGTGCATGGTTAGAGTCATAAAGTTGGGAGACACGGCCACAGGCCTGCATGCAGTCCCTACCCCCACTCCCTCATCAGGAGGTGCTGACTATGGAGAAAGCTCCAGGCCCCACATCTGCGCAGGGATCAAGTGGGGACGCGCTCTGGCGAAAGAGGCTGTCTAGACCTCACCCGGCCCCAGCAAGCAAATATTTCTACTTGCCCTGGAGACTGGATTCCTGAGCACGGCACTGAGGGCTCTTGTTGGTGCTGGAATTTGTAAGCACCCACTCGAGAGACAAGTGAGCAGCTGGGCAAGTGTGTGTTACACACACGCATGCACACGCACATGCGCACGCACATACACACAGCCTGCTGGAGTCCGGAGGGTCCACAGAGGAAGCCGCCATCCAGAGCTGTTTGTCCATCCACCATGAGACAGGGCCGGGGCCTTGAGCACACAGCTGGAAAGATAGAGGTGTCCTGGCTGCCTCCTGCCCTGGGACTCCCAGCAGGAAAGCACCATTCAGCTCAAGAAGGCAGTGGAGAGCAAACTCACCTCTAACCAAACGCAGGGAGTTGCCTAAGCTTAGAGCAGGAGTCCGTTAGATCAATCTGAAACCTTTACAGTGATTTTACTGGTTTATATGCTGGGATTTGGCAGGTGGCCCTAAAATCATAATCAGAAAAGGCCTGTGAAACTCCAGCCAGGGCTCTGCACACAGACGACCCTTCTGGAGCGTGAGCCTTCTGCTTTGCAAAGCACAGCCAGCGAGTTCTTTGGAGAAGTGGGGTCCTGCCTGTTGCTGTCATCAGGTCCCCTGTACCAGAAGTCTGTGCATGTCCCTTGGTGCAGTGAGCAACCCGTGGGGCTGTGTGGTTAGAAACCACATAAGTGAAATCACAGAATGCACATCCCCACTCTCCACGCACCTTGAAACTGTGGTCAGCTGGCAGATACTGGAATATTTGAGGGCTGTCACTTTGATGCTGTGGAGCTCAGGCTGCTTCAGTGCCTCACTTGGAACAGAAAGATCTGTGAAAAGAGCCTGAGAAGGTTCTCGATGTCTTGCTTTCTTTAAAGGGTTTGAGGCTTGCAGGCGTTTGGAATAGGCCACACACAGGGGTTGTAAAGAGCACCCAAAAGAGAGGCTTCGCCTGAGGCCTTTCGGGCAGGAGTTGTCACTAAGGAGAGGGTCTCGCAGTCTTCAGAGGGAACCTTGAGGGGTTCTGAGGCCGGAGTGACCCTGGCCAGATGGCTCAGATGGGAGGTGGCTGGTCCTTCCTATCCCTGTGGGTGAGGGCAGACCTTGCTCGACTCGGGATGCAATGCGGGAGGGGGCGGGGTGGGTTCCGGGACACCCACCCCGCCCATGGTGCCCAAGGACCTGCTGCTGACTGCCAGGGGGACAGTGGGGACAGTGACGCCACTGCGTGGATGCACCAGAAAGGTCCTTCCTCTGGATGGGCTCTGTGGGCCCCCAGGCACTGGGCTGAGATTCTCCTAGGACCCCGCACCACCAGGTGGGGAGGGTGACCCCATCTTGCCTGTGCGTGGGGTGCTGCACCGTGGTACCTGCTGGGGGTGCCACACAGTAACTGTGAGGGAAGGGGGGCTGTGTCGCACTCCTGCTCACAGCACTGAGCCCTGTGGACACGGGCTGGGGTGCTCCTCCATGAGGCCACCCCACGGCCTCTTTACTCTGAACTGCAGTGCAGTCCTGCCTCAGCGTGACGCCCCTCTGGGGACCTCTCCTGCCTTTCTCCACATACCTCCCCCTCCAGGCAGATGAGGCATCCTCGAGGCCCCATGGGTCCCTGCTGGGCACTGTCTCTACCCGCTGAACCGCTGTTCCAGGAGCATGTACTTGGGTCCTGGCCCCAGGGCTCCACTCAGCCTCTGAGGTTGTACACAGCCTGGCCTCCAAGACGGTGACATCCTCCTGGTGGGCTGTGCCTAGCAGGGAAGCCAGGCTTGGTCAGGCAGGGTGGAGGGGGTCCTCTGTCCCTTCTACCCACCTTTCGGGGAACCTGACCCTCCTCAGGGGAATGTTTGTCAGGCATTGAAGGTGCGCTGGGCTGTGGAGAGGGCACCCTGTGAGGTGTAGGTGACGACTGTGCCATGTGCCCTGGGGTAACCAGTTGTGTGCTTTGTTTCCACAGGGTGTGAAGAAGTTCGATGTGCCCTGCGGAGGGAGAGACTGCAGCAGTGGCTGCCAGTGCTACCCCGAGAAGGGAGGCCGAGTAAGTCTGAGTGCCATGTGCACCCCCCTTTCCGCGTACCCCGCTTCCCATGGACCGGCAGCCTCTCAGAGCCATGAGGTCCACAGCTGCTTCCTAAGAAGTACAGCACCCACCCCTGGGCCCTCTGTCACCACAGCCAGCTCTGATGTGACATGGGACAGGGACTGTGCCGTTTCCTCACCTCTGTGAATACACACGGCTGCCCCAGGATCTGCCAGGGGTTGGCCAGGAGTCCTGTGGGCACCGAGATCTGAAGTGCCCAAGTCCTTCTGTCTCGTGTCAGGGTACCTAGTGTCCTTCCGTGTACTCATTTGTTCATTGGTACTGGGGATCGAACTCACACCCTCGTGCTTGCACTGCTGTGCCCCTGAGCTGTATACCCAGCCCCTCCCGTGAACTTTACACGTCTCCAGGTACTCCTGAGACCAGGTGCAGTGCTTTATTTAGGGAATAATGACCAGGAAAAAGCCCAAACCTGCTCAGGGTAAGTGGGCAATTTCTGATATTTCTGATCTGTGGTTGATGGAATCTGCAGATCCAGGGGCCAGCCGTGTGTGTGTGTGCGTGTGTGTGTGTGTGTGTGTGTGTGTGTGTCCGTATACATACACAGATACCCTTATGTGAAGTGCAGCAATGGTTTGCAGTATATTTTGCATAAACATGGACTTTATAAAAACCCATAATGGGGAGCAGAGTTGCGTCTGAACCATGGCAGAGGCGTACAAACCTGACAGCGCTGACGGCAGCCCCTTGACGTTGATGCTAACATAAAATTACTCACTTCCTGGATGCCCGTAGCTGGCTCCCAGGTGAGCGTGAAGGTGTCCCCTTTGAAATACCGACCTGATGGTGGGGCGAATGTGTTCAGTGCTTGGTGGAAACAGGGGTCTCTCAGCAGCTGCCTGCCCTGTGAGAGGCCAGGAAAGCAGCTCCAGGCAGAGCTGCCCGAAAGCCCTGGTTTGACCCTTGGTACCACAAGAAACCAAACAAAGCACAGACAGCCCGCTGAGTCTGCATGCAGGCCCCGCTTCCTTCTGAAAGGTGGTGTTTCTGTGCACATGTGCAGGCCCATGGATGGGGACCGTAGGGTTCAGCCTGTCCCCAGCCCTCTGTGTCTCACCTGGGGGCTGTGTGGTCCCTCCAGGACCTGGGCTTGGCTGCACCTTGGTGACAAAGGCCCATCTGTGATGCACGGGAATTGTTGCCTGTGTTGCTCTGCTGGGGTCACAAAGCATGACAGTCCTGGTGTTCCCATGAGTTTCAGACTGCTGAATCCCAGCATGGGGTTGGAGTAGCTGCACCCTTCCTACCCCCCAGGAGGACGTCGTCTTTGGGAGTGTAGCCTGTGGCTGGATGTGAAACCACTGTACCCCCATTCCCGAGCTCCTCCTCAGAACCTAACGGATGGTGGGATAGTGAGGACATTCTAGTGAATCTGAATTTGTCGCTCTTGTGAGACTGACCATTAGATCAGTGCAGGGGTCCCAGTAGGGGCCCCTCCTCGGTGTCAGGGCCACTGCTCCACACTCTGTTCATTGAAAACTGCAGCTCTCTAATCTGTGACCTTCTGATTTATCAAAGGGCCTCGTGGCTTGGCCAGGGACTCTGCTTAAGGAACTAAAGGTCATTCTTCAGCATGCCACAAGGGTAAACACTTTTTAAATGTAAGAAGCCATTTCCTGAGATGTAAAATTCCCCTTGGTCCCCAGCTATAGATTTTCCCAGCGATGACACGCTGGGGCAGGACAGGAGTGCACACTCCCTGGCTGGCTTGGCCTTATATGGACAGGAAGTGGATAAATCAGTGGTGTGGCGTCCAGAGCGGCCGTGGGGGTGGAGCTGGAGTCTGGGGGTTCTCTTTACACTTCACATACCACCAGCCACGCAGAGCCAGGATGCCCGGACAGAGGGCCACTCACCCAAAGCAGACCCCAGGCAACATCTTCCGTCCAACCTCGCCCAGAGTCTGGCTCTCTGGGAAGGACAGCTTGCTCTGGTTATTCAGTAGACTGCCATGGGCGGGGGAGTGTGTGCCTGTGTGGTGCCTCGGGGCACCAGGGCCAGGTCTCTAAGGTTTCCTGGGTCTCTGTGACTTGGGAAACTCACTCCCAGAGCAGGAGTCCCTCTGTCTCCCAGCATCCCGTGACGGGAACGTCAGAGTCTATTTTCTGACGTTGCGATGTAAAGGGCAAAATGTCCACCTCCAGCTGACTTAACACCAGAAATCCAGAGTAGCCTGGGCTGGGCTTCACTGCAGGTATCAGGCAAGTCACAGACGCTGACCACATGAGGCAGACTTGATGGTTGTCTCAGTAGTTTGTACGAAAGGAAATGATGCCCACGCAGGCCTCTGCTAGGGGGCCGTCCTTTCAGGTTCCGGTGCCCTGTTGTGTGCTGCATGATTCCTACCATGGGCTGGCCAGATGGCCCGGGGAGGTCAGGGCAATTGGCACCAGTCCATCCAAGTAGCGCAGGTGTGTCACTGCACATTGGCTAGGAAGGAGACAGAAAGAGCAAAGAGCAAAGTGAGAGAAGCCTGTTGTGGGTATTCCCGGGTACAGTCACATGTGCTTCAGCCAAACAGTCACTACGGCACACACTGTGTTTATCCTACAGACCAGGCATGTATGTGCATTAAACATCACCTAATCCACAGATCTACAAACATGTTTCTGCGCAAAGCCATTTCTGCCGACTTCAGGGTGTGAGGAGATTTTTTAAAGTAATGCAATCCATAAAAATAGCAGCCCGGCAAATCCATGTCCAGGAGCTGCGTGCGTAGCCTGTTCTTTCCCAGAGCTTCCCTGGGGGCTGCGGGCCATGGATTTTCCCCACATCGCTACTAAAGCTGCGATCTAAACGCCTCCCTGCACACGGGCCAAGCCTGGCTGACTCGGCCTTATATGGACATGGTACCCCAGCGGCTGCATCCTCACCATGGTGACAGCCAGCGGCAGGAGCCGGTGGGTAATTCTTGGCTCCTGAGCAGCAGCGGGCGAACCGTGACTCTGGCTCCAAGCAGAGTCTGCAGTTGCCAAGCGAACAGGCTGCATGTGCCGGGCACAGAGACCCTTTCTTCTGCTTCTCTGGCCTTGGGGAGCGATGGCAGAGCGGGATGGGCCAAGGAGGGGACAGGGCTGGACTGACAAGGCCTCTCGCTGCCTCCCTATCCCACTTTAGGGTGTAATGAGATTTTTTACATGCCCATCTCCGCCTGCCACCACCCCCTTCTAAAACCTCAGGGTCACTTTAGCACCCCACACCACACTGCACGGAGCCCAGTCACTCCCTGCAGGGAGGCAGGTGGGCAGGGCCCTCCCTGCACCTCACGCCCTTCTGGTCCGTAACTGCCATTGCAGGACCCTGGCTTGCTTGAGGCAATGGGCAGCCGTGGTCCTTCTCTGCCCTGTGCGTCTCCTGCCAGGACCTTGTCTAGAGCCAAGGCTGATGCAGTGAAGAGGAGAGGGTGTGTCCAGTGGGTTTTCCCCACAACAGGGACAGAAGCAGGGTGACCACAAAAGAGCCAGAAATGGGGGACAAGGGAAGGTAGGAGGTGAGGAGAAGACCAAGCTAACCTGGAGTCCCCCTGGGGTGGTGACCAGCCTGCTTCACCAGCCAGAGCTCTTGGGAGGAAGCCAGGTAAGGTTCAGAGTTCCAGTCAAAGGAAATCCCATGGAAGACCCAGCGTATGGTCCCCGATGGCGGGAGGAGATCACATGCAGCCACGGTTGGCTGCTAACGCTTAATATTTAGCCAATGGACGATCGTTTATTGCACGTTTGCCGGGCACCAAGAGCACAGGCCCACACGGGATGGCTGTGCTCACCCCTGGCCCTCCAGAATCATTTCCTACACTGTGCGCAGACCGCCCAGCCAGGATGGCTGTCCAAGGCCTTGAAATGGGGCCAGGGAGACGTGACCTGAACCCCTGGGTTTACTCAAACAGACAGAATCCAAGTGAAATGGGCACATGGCCCAGCGGGCACCACATGGACCCTGAGGTCTAGCGAGGCGAGCAGACAGCAGACGAGGGAGGGGTGGAGGACAAAGACCGGAAGTCTGTGGCCGACAGCAGATCCTAGGTAGGGATGGAGCCATGCCAGGATTCATGGAACCAGGACAATGGAAAACGCGATGAGAATAAGACCGGGACCTGTGGCCCACTGGGGCTCTATCTTTGCAGAAAGATGTTATCTGGAAGGTAAATAGGCCAAAGTGCAGCACGGGGCCCCCGGATGCGCAGATGTGTCCCTGAGCCAGCCAGGGGAATTCCTTTCGGGCTTGTCACTGCACCCTCCCTCCTTCTGGAAACTCCTCGTCTGGCAGCCTTGGTGCAGGTGACCTTGGCGGCCCAGCTGCCAGCCTCAGACACGATGTGGCTCTTCCTCCCGTTCCAGCAGATGAAGTAAGCGTCTTCACAAAGCAGGACTCTGACGAACTTGTAGAAGCGAGTTGACTGTACCACCAGGGAAGGGAGAAGCAACCAGGGCTCGCTGGCTCCTCCCTCATGCCATCCCAGCGAAGGTGATGAAAACTTAATGTCCGAAGGATGATCGCAAACAGGATCTGGTATTTTATTTTTAAAAGGCCAGCTTGGAGCTCATGCAAAAGGAAGAAGAGTGCACTGTTGACATCTTACAGAGACATAACTTGGATATCACATCACTGAGCCAACTGGAGAAACCTCACCACATACAGGGTCTAGGGGTGCAAGGTAGTGTGTAAAGGGCCTGGGGTGTGATTTGGTGATAAAACATGTGCTTTGCACTCGCAGGGCTCTGGCTTCTATCCGCAGCACACGCACTTCTAAAAGGCAACTGTTTAGAATTTTAAAATGTGTTTCCCTTATCCTAGAAACCCTCGTTCCCCTCACTAGAATTGTGGCCTGCCTGGACCCTGTGGTCCCCTGCCGGTAGATACCTCATTAGAGAATAGGCATCGTCAGTTCTTTGGTGAAAGTTAGTGGCAGTGGTTGGACCTGACACTTAGCAACTTTGCCA